TTGAGACTAAAGGGCTTTGTCCCATTGGCAAAAAGAGTCAGAATGTCCTCAAATGAAGACCTTGAGATACAATATCACCTGATTACTCAAAAAATGTGAAGAGAGAACAATGTGAGAAGATTAGAAATATTTTTTTTGTGCTGGTTTGATTTTCTTTGATGAGAATGACGTTGCTTTGTGAAGGTTGGGGATCACTGTATATTGACTCAGTTACTCATTGTTGGGTTACAGGGTAGTTTAGCCCTCACCAATTAACAGATAAATATGTGGTAATTAGTGTATGATTTATGGTTAATTAGCTCTTAATTGGTATTTATTATGCACTTATTAGTCCTCATTCTACATGACCTTATTCAATAGCTAAATAACTACTAACTAACACTTTATGATGTGAGTTAAGGTTCGAGCTAGGATACAATTACACAAGTTGACAGCCAAAAAATGGTCAGGGGTTTCTCAACTGATTTAGACTAATGTTGGTGTTCTGAGTCCGAATATCACATGCATTTTGCTCTATCAGGTCAACTTTTTGAGATACAGCCATAGTGTTACGGATTATGTACGTCTACGTTATTATGAATTCTGCTTATCAAAGTTGATGGAGTAAATAAAAACTGAATGACTTTGGATACGTTGACTTTTATTTTTTGAGGAAAACGGAAAAATCGTCAAGGGTTTCTCAGTTGATGATCCGCAGAAATTTGTTTTTTACGCAAAATTGATTACAAAAAATATTTCTGTAGCAGAAAATCCTGACCTGATTGAGCAAAACCAAGGTCATTTTCAGACTCAGAGCATCAGAATTAGTCTAATTCAGCTGGAAAACCCTGGACTATTTTCAAAACATATTTTTTTTTAACCCAGTGTTATTAGTGCATGATTTAGGGTAATTGGTATTAATTGGTATTTATTAAGCGCTTAACTAACACTTTACCATGTGGGTTAGGGCTAGGGTACATTAATTAGCAGCTAATTAGTGAGGACTAATCTAAAGTGTTCCCCGTTGTGTAAAATTGGGTCTGTTCTGGTTTTGGCAAATAAAAGAAAAAAAAAAAATCTAGCTTCAACCTGATTTGTGATGCTTTTAACAACCCTGTCATTACATATGAAAATACGAAGAAGCGACGAAACAATATTAAAAAATAGTGTAAACAATTATTTTTGGCCCTAGGTACATTTTGACTATCGCTCTTTCCTTCTCTGCTTCGAGTTCGCTCCACGTCACCCTTATTCAAATCGACAGCGCATGCCGTTTCCAGGCATTGAAATAACCTTGCATTATTGTATATTTATATTAAACAGTGTTAGATTTCCCATAAAAACCCTTTATGCAAAACCACTGCAGCACGGACAAGTAATTACAGGCTATTGAAAACTTAGCTCTCGTCAAACTCTTTGGTATTTCCATGAAAAATATGACACCACAATAATAATACTGTTTCTCATTGGTCCCTGCCAGATTGGAATCACGGTATTTTAAATGCGCCACAGATCTGGGAAGCAATAACACACGACAGCTATTGAATATAAGGCTTAGGGAGGTTTGCGTCTGGGCATATGGAAATCCTGTTATCAAAAAAACGTACCATTTTACACAAGGCGCATATAGAAACGGAGTTGTGCATAACATTGTGAGATTTTCTGATGAATTAAATGAGCTTTCCAGGAGCCGGCGACCTGATAAGACGTAAGATATAGGCGTTTTTCACATTGGTCGGAAAGGAATTCAAAATATCTTTCGCTAAAATCTACAAAACAAGGGTTAATACAGTTTTTTTGGTTCAGGAAATGGAGATGGCCATGTCTACACTGCAAAAAAAGGAGCGTCTGCATGAGCTTGAATGAGTTTGAGGAGTGACATTTTGAGTTTGATGTAGTTTAGATTTAACATTACAGGTTTCTGTTGGAAGTTTTCATAAAGGCAATTTTACCGAACGATATTGTGGACAACAGATATGATTCTCAAACTGGTGGGCGTGGGACAATCTCAAGATATGTCTAGAATAACATTTTGCTGCATTGGATCGATCATTTGACACAAAATATGATTGACACAGCATGAAATATTTACATTTTTGATGTGTCCACAGATAACAGGTCACATGCACAAACCATATCCAAAATGTTAATGTGGAGTAAATCTTAATAAAATAATACTTTGGACCTGACTTCTTTACGTTTGGTTGTCTGTCAAGAGAAACCGTAGACTGTATATGGTTGGACAATGCTAACCCCCTAGCTCAATGGAGCACAATAGGGAAGTGCTCATGGACGAAGTTTTGCACCAACTCACTCTGGCTCCAGTTGACATTGAAAAAGTAATTGTTTATGTCACATTCACCATTTTCATTTTTGCTAAATCTGTGGTTTAGAGTTCTCTGTGATCCTGGTGTTTATACTTGTTTTTGTATAGCTAGATAAGAGCCATATACGGATTGACCAATTAGCAACACGTCTGCCCATCTTACGGCAGAGACCACCATCATTTTTTTTACTTTTACATGTCAGACAATAGGATCCAAAGTGAGTTGGAGCAAAATTTCGTCCATGAAATTTGTCCAAATTTCATCCAACTGGGCCTCATTGAGGTAGGGAGTTAGCATTATCCTTCTATATAAAGTCTATGGCTAAATATTACTCAATTAAACTGATTATTTTCTCAACCAGGCTTTTTGTTTAATGAAAAGGAGATATCAAAGAATCATTGGGATTATGCTGTATTCCAATATTATCGTTTATTGGAATGTTTTTGTGAAGCAATATATCGTCCAGCTACAAATGTTATCACTACTTGCTTAGCAACCAGGATTAAATACCAACCTAAAAACTTAGCACTCATGTTACCTGCAGCAGACGCTCATTTTTGCAGTGTAGAGCAACTCAAAAGATGAGAAAAAGACACAGAAATTCCACAAAAACAAAATCTAATTTAGAATAAAAAGTCTTTCGTTCCCATTTTTGCAAAATCCACGATCCAGTTGAAAAGAATCCATTGCAAGTTGTTTTTTTTTGCATTTCTATCTCTATTGCAACAAGCCACCAGTAAGTTCCTATTTCTTGTACGTTGCAAACAAGGACGGACAGCGGCAGCTTCACCATTGTCCCAGAAGCCACTGCAGAGAAAGGGAATAACCTTGCAGAGACTAAACCAAGATCTGAGAATCCATTTTCTCATTATGTGTCTTTGCTCTTATCTAAATCCAGTTAAAAGAGCCCATTTTCTCATTTGCCTTTGGAGGTCAATTTGAACGCTTCAAATAATTCCAGTCAGTCAAAAAGGCACAAGAAAAATCCTTGTAATAAAAAAAGCTTTTAGGACGATTTCTCAATTTATAATATTAATTTTCCTCCGAAGGCTTTGGCTGTCGCCATGACGATAAAAAATTCAACCTGGGATTTTAAGACAGCATTCCAAAATGTGTCAACAATGCAACGATGAACTCCCGTGGCGACTTTGGCACAAGGTTGAACATATTTGTCTCCTAATCTTAAAGGGTGGATGAATTAAGTGCAGTTTCGGCTTGTTCGGTGAAGATTGGATGGAGTGCAAAAGGTCCGAAGGTGGCCAAAAGAAGATACAAAATGACTCATTGCATTGAAAGCATTGCAGTAACGATCACCTGGTGCAAATATTGTCGAGGGCATATCAAAAATACCTGAAGTGCTTGTAAATGGGAGGAACGGAGTGCAAGTCTTAACCAGGTTTTCAAACATCCATAGACAACGCAAAATGTCTGGTTTGTTGACGTGTTTTTGCAAATACATTTGGCTTTGGGTTGTTCAAGTGACTGTGCATATTTGCTTTTGTTGAATAGTTGTTGTAGTAGCTCATAGAGTACTGCTAGTTGGTGTTTGTTCTCACTAAATAGAATAGAAAGTAGATTAAGTAGATTTAGATTTTCTCGGCACAACTCTATCTGGTTGTGTGTTCAATTATTCTTAGTACCCACCCACAAGCAGCTCAGCCAATCAGGGTCAAGCAGGCGCTAAAATGGACATTGTACCGGTTAAACATGGCCGGTGGAAATGCTACCAATCGGAGTAGAGTAGGGTAGAGTAGGGCAGGTAGAAACTGGGCTGTATTTTCACATTGAGACATGATTTCAAAAGCTGTCCAAATCATCACTGGCTTTTTCAATGAAAAAAAAACAGAAAATCTTTGGATGTGAATGACAATCCTAAATTAGCTTTGTCACTCATTTACGTTTGTCTCAAGGTAAGGAGCTAGATTACGGGTTTTATCTAAATGAAGTGAGTCTCAGGGGTATTAAGAGATAGACTTCCAAGAGTTCTCAAGCGCATCACAGATTTGATCATAATCTCTATAATACTTTAGGACACTCCTCTACTTAATCCTAATAACCTATAATCCCTATAACTAAAAAAATGAATCCATGTGACTCAAGAGAAGAAGCAGGAATTCAATAGCTTCCAAAAACGTCACGAGACCACCAAAGATGATATCCTCAGTCAAGAACAGATTTGGCGTTATGGACCAAGTGCATTTGGTCAAAGGCTAAACCTGAAATATCTGAGCTTTGTATCCGGATAGCTCATTCATTCTGTTTTTGGTGTACGTGCTGGTCTTCAATCACTCTCAAAACATGTTCTCGAGGGCTATTTTCACATCGAATCTACAAGCTCAGATAGGACTCCACATTTATACCAATCGCCAGTCAAGAATAGGCCATTTGGCTTTATTGCCGTGTGTTTTTTGTAGATGGTGCTGGACTTCACATACTCTTACTCAGGCAACCAAAAGCATCTCTGGATGTTTTCTCGCTGAAGCCGTAAGATCAGAGATGACTCCACATGTTAGCTCAGTCAGCTCAGTCAAGAGTAGACAACCTGGCTTCATTGGTGTTCCGTTTTAGGCGGAGGTTCTGGTCTGCAAACACTCTCAAAACAGCCTATCGAACCTATTTTCCTGTTGGGCCTGAAGATCAGAGACGACGCCACGTTAATCCAGCCAACTCAGTCCCCGTTGTGAGTTCATGTCCTCAGGAGGAGAAGCAGAGACTACAACACTCCATGCAGATCTCCAGACAGTCGGCGGATTCGCAGCAGGCGTCGATGATCCCACAGTCCATGTCGCAGGGCAGGTCGCAGTCCCCGCACTCCTCCGAGGCGCAGCAGCAGCAGAAGCACGAGTCGTCCCCCGCGCACGAGCCGCAGGTGGCGCAGTCCAACACGATGTTACACAGCGTCAGGAACTCGCAGAAGAGGCAGGCCAGGATGCAGTGCACGCAACAGTCTGAGGAGAGAAGACAGAGGCCGTGAGCTACGAGTCTGGAGTTGGCACGAAGAAAATGTGTAATCAAATAATAATAATGACATTGGTACACCGGTTAGATACAGCACTTTTTGGACTTCACATGTCATTATTCATTCACTCCATACATGGTGGTGACAAACTACTGTAGCCACAGCTGACCTGGAGCATACTAACAGGATGAAGGCAACCAGTATGTGCCACCTACTAACATCAATCATTTACACACCAGACTAGTTCCCTAATGTGTGCCAATGGGTGAAGTGTCTTGCCTAAGGACCCAATAATAGTTTGGCACTTGGTGTTCCCAAAGGTTTCCCATCATAGTACTAACCAGGCCATTCTTAGCCTGCTTAGCTTCAGAGGTCCGACGCAGTATGGCTGTCACCTGCAGTTAAGGCCACATAACCACCACTTACAGTATAGTCAGGAGGTGTCAAACCGGTCCTCAAAGTGCCAGTGTGTCTGCAGGATCCAAACCAAACAAGTGCAGACCAGACTACTCCCATTTCCTCAGGTGAGTCCAGTCTTAATCTGAAGACCTGAGGAAATGGGTGGAGTCTGTTGTGTTCTTGCTTTGTTGGAATGAAGTCCTGCAGCCACACTTTCCCTTTCTGGAACTGGTTTGACATGCATGCTTTTAGTGATTGACCCACGTCTTTACTTGCCTTCAAACAAGCACAATACTATATCCTCCTCTCATTCTAAGTGAGAAATTACTAAGTCTTGTCATTTTTATTGTTTAAGTTAGACAACAAATATTATGTTTGTTCCATTTGAAATCAATTCTTTAATCTTGCAGACATGTAGAGAGTCAAATCCAGATCCAAATGACTTGTCAGTCTCTCAGAGCTACACTGAGGTCTCTATCCCTTCACTCCACACTGTGGTGTTGGCTGGTGTCCGACCACCGCCACCAGTCACTCATTCAAACTGCTGCATGTTTTGGTTGATGTGGAAACCTGAGTCTGGGAGAAACCGACCCAAACATGAAGAGAACCCGCAACCTTCATGCAGTCAATTATAAGTGCTATCCACTCAGTCGTCGTAAAATTATAAATGAGATGAATCTTGAAGCCCTAAAAGAAGATCTAATCAAATAGGTTTCGTCTGTACATTGGAAGTTTTTATATCAAGCGTTAAGACAGATTTGTTTGCCTTGGCTTTTTACACTAGAACTCCCAGAGCAGTCAAATCGACGGCTTTTCGTTTTAGAAGTGTTTGAATATGTACTTTTTGGTTTTCATAACTTTGTGACTTTTTCTGTATCTCTAGCAGTTCATAGTATTTTCTTGTAGTTTATGTTTATCATTATCTAGTCCGAGTGTTAACACCAACTGAGTGTTACTGTTTCACATGTGTGTGTACTTTATGCTGATTTTCTTTTTTCGTTTGTGCATGTGAAGCACAACAGCCGGTGTTGTTGTAAATGTGCCATACAAAAAAAGCTGTGCTATACGAATAAATTATTGTAGACATTCACTCATGAAAGTCTACCATCATCTGCGTGGTATTTCCATGAGTTTGCTCATGAGCCGTAAAGAGCAGCCTCACCGTCCTGGGCCTCTGTGGGCAGCTGTGAGCTGTTGCTCTTGGAGCTGCTCTTGCTCCTCTTGCTGCTCTGTGAGGTGATGGACGGGTTGGACTGCAGCTTCCGGGACGATGACGAGGAGGTGGAAGAGCCACCCCGCGGCAGGGAGCCCAGTTTGGGGTGAGGGCCTCCGTTCCGCAGCCCGTTATGTGTGATGGGCGGGTGACTCTGGTTGCTGTGATGGTGGGAGGACGGGTGTGTGTGGTGAGGGCAGTGGGGTTTGGTGCCGTTCCGGAGGTGACCGCCGCCCGGCTGCGTCCGACAGGGCTGCGTCCGACAGGGCTGCGTGTGCTGGAGGGGGGTGGATCGTGCCATAGGCTGACCTGAGGACAGAGAAGATATACAACATCAATCTCTTCTTTGACTACAGAACTCTGCTGCTTCTGTCTAGACTCTCACGCAACAGTACAGATGAGAAAATCCCTATTGTCTTGTCTTGGCACAAACTTTAACCGATTAATTACAATTTAACCACACACTACATCCCAAAATGCATTAAACCCTGCAAATGTCACAAACAGGCTCATACGTGTCTAAGTAAGGCAGGCATATCAAACTTTGGCCCGTGGGCCAAATCTGGCCCGCACAACTATTTTCAGTGGCCCGTAACATGATTACCATGGCATGTTATACATCACCTATTTCCTCAGATAAACATTTCATTTGTTCAAACATATGAAGCTGAAGCGCAAATTCAGACTAAAAGAGCGGCCACATCTCTCACCTGTCCAGGGCCAGCCAATCACACAGCTCTGCCAGCCCCTTGACAACCCACTGACAGCAAAGCGGGCAGTTTAAAAGCAGCCACTTCCTGATTATCAGCGCTTCCTGAGGCTCTTATACCCACCGCCTCCCCAGCGCATATCTCAAGCTCCTGCCCTGGCTCCTGCTCTGGCTCCTGCTCTGGCTCCTGCTCTGGCTCCTGCTCTGGCTCCTGCTCCGCCTGCGCCCCATTCACACCATATACTTCTAGCCACCACCAGTGCTTGACCCCGGGGGATCTGAGATCATCTTCAGCAGCAAATGATCTTTCCTCTGCAAGTGTCACTGCCGGGGTCAATGCGCCAATCAAATACATCTTTTTCATGCATTAATGTTTCTGTCTTGGGCTTTAGATTGAATTGAACCCAACACATCAATAGAAGTACATAAAACAATGTTTAAATTTATATTTTGTCAATTTTTTAATAAACACATTTCATGACAAATAAAAACAATTTCAAAATACTTTCAAATCGTTAAAAAAATATATATTTATAATTTATTATTTTGGCCCTGACCAGCTCCTATTTTCTTGTTGCTCTGCCCTGGACCAAAATGAGTTTGACAGAAGTAAGGCGATAATTGTCTTCATTTAGTGCAATGTGACCGTTTTGTCTGCCCATAAACTTTAGTTTTAAACTCAGTTGGAGTTTACATCAGAACGTACTTGTCATATAATTTCAATAAATGTAATTTAATACAACATTTTTCTCTCAAAGTTGAATTCTCCCAATGCACTTTGACCATCATCCTCGCCTCACCACAGGGTATCCTGCATGCAGACCTACATCTGATCCACTTTTGAACACATTGCAATGGTTTTGAATAAGAAATAAATGTGGCGGATAGAAAGGCTTTGCTAAGGTATTACTTTGTGTCTCCTTGTCTCTGGACAGAGAAAAGTGCTGTGGCCACAGACCAGGAGCCACCCACAGTGCTGCTCCGGTCAGACTGAAGGAGGGACTGACCTCTGCTGCTTCTGTCTAGACTCTTACGCAACAGTAAAGACGAGAAAGTCACTATTGTCCCGTCTGCGCGAGGAATTATGACACAAGTTTAACCAATAAGTAAGGTTTAGTTTACAGAGCTCTTTTTTCACTGAGCAGAGCTTTAAACACACATGGGTTAACTGTTCTGTTCTGTTAAAGAGACTACAGTAGTAGATAGTAGTGACGGCGGTAGAGAGCAAGTGGTGAAAAGGTGGTACTGCACCCTAAAATCCCCCCAGAAAGGGGACGGCGCTCTTGAGCAAGTGGTGAAAGGTGTTACTGCACTTTGTTTTTCAAAGAGTTAGCTTCTGTTGGCCTGTGTGTGTGTGATAATGCTTTCACAGTTGTCTAAAGTGTTTTATGATCACGGTGTATTCTAAAACAAGCAGTTAGGTCAATAAACTAATTAATCTACAGGTCCTCCCTGTTAACGACACGTGTATGTGTGTGATAGTGATGAGCGGTAGGGAGGGCGTACTAACTAGCTGTTATGGTGGACAGGTGAACGCGCATACGTACTTCCCACTTAGACTCTTCATGGGCCTTACTAAATTCAATGGCTGGTGAGCCAAGCAGAGGTGATCTCTGTGGTCACATCCTCAAAAGCTCAGCCCAACTTGCATGTTAGACGCAGTCCCGACATGGCTCTTCAAAGACATAGCTTCCTTTGATAAACTGAGCCTATCGTAAATATAATAAACGCATCCATACAATGTGGCTATGTCCCCACAAGCTTTTAAAACCGCGGTAATCAAACCCCTTCTGAATAAAACAAAACCTGGACCCAGAAATACTTACAAACTACAGACCGATCTCGAACCTCACTTTTATATCTAAAATCCTGGAAAAACTTATAGCTGAGCAGCTCCGCTGCCACCTGCAGGAAAATGATATGTTTTGAAGTCTTTCAATCAGGATTCAGAGCTCATCATAGCACTGAAACGGCACTAGTCAAAGTCACAAATGACTTACTACTAGCTGCCGATAATGGACAAGTGTCAGTGCTGGTCCTACTGGACCTTATGCTGCATTTTGAACACAATAGACCACAGCATTCTACTGCAGAGGCTAAATGTGATATAGGTCTTAGAGGAACAGCCCTTGGCTGGTTTAAATACCTATTTATCAGATCGATATCACTTCGTCAATGTGAATCAGGACTCGTCGCCTTATTCTGGAGTGGAATTCGGTGTGCCGCAGGGTTCGGTACTCGGACCGATTCTTTTTACTCTCTACATGCTGCCACTGGAAACATTATTAAAAAGCATGGAATTAATTTCCACTGCTATGCAGATGACACACAGCTTTATCTGTCGATGAAGCCTAATCAGACAGATCAGCTAGAAAAGCTCAGTGCCTGCATAAAGGACCTTAAAATGTGGATGACTCTTAAACTTCCTACTTCTCAACCCGAGAAAGACAGAAGTGATCCTACTCGGCTCCGAAGCGCCTGCGTGACTCCCTCACTAACCAGATGGTTACTCTCGATAATGTCAGTATAATACCCAGTAACACTGTGAGGAATCTTGGAGTCATTTTTGACCAAGAACTCTCCTTCAAGGCTTATATAAGCCAAGCAACTAAAACGGCGTACTTCCACTTACGGAACATCGCTAAAATTAGGAATTTCCTTCCTAAAAGTGACGCGGAAAAACTCATTCACGCGTTTGTCACCTCAAGGCTCGACTACTGTAACGCTTTACTGGCAGCGTGCCCTAAAGCCTCTTTGAAGAGCTTCCAGCTCGTTCAGAATACAGCAGCTAGGATCTTAACAGGTACCAAAAGGAGGGAGCACATAACTCCGGTGTTAAAATCACTCCACTGGCTCCCTGTGGAGTACAGAATAAAGTTTAAAATCCTACTCTTAACATATAAAGCCATAAATGGCTTGGCTCCTTCTTATCTCCAAGACACGTTAGTGTCGTATCAACCAAGTCGAGCGTTGCGCTCACAAAACGCCAGACGTCTGGTGGTCCCTAAGGTCTCAAAGGTCACTGTTGGTGGCAGAGCATTTAGCTACCAAGCTCCTTTACTGTGGAATCAGCTTCCCATTTATGTTAAGGAAGCAGATACGGTCTCCACATTCAAGGCCAGGCTTAAAGCACTTTACTTTAATTTAGCATATAATTAGGTAATATATAATATGTAGTGTATATATTATATATATATATGCTGTATTATGTTATATATTATGTTATATATTATTCAATAATGTATTGTGTTATGTTGTATATTATGTTATATATTATGCTGTATGTTATTCTTTATTCAAGGCTAGGTTTAAAACAGTCCTCTTTAGTTTAGCATATGGCTAGGAAGGTAAGACTCGGAGAAGGTTAAACTCCTCAGAGTGTTAGTCAAGCTGCATAGGGAGTCAGTTTGCTGGGAGAAGTATGGTAACTTGAGCACTATCCTCTCCTCCTTCCTACTTTATCTGTTTAGCATTTTTAGGATTCTGACTGTAGTTTGTTCATTGCTATTCACCCGTTGTCCCATTGTCTGTTTCATGGTACGATGACGGGATCTCTGAGCCTGGCCTCTTCCATCTACACCTGCGGACTGCCCCGCCCGACCCGCCTGGGAGTGCTTCGGTCCTGCACCGGACCTGTCCACGTTCAGCGTCCACTGGTCCACGTTCTGTAGCTAGCTTAGGTCCTAGATCATTAGTCTGTCCGTCCGGAGGAGCGGATCCCTTTCTCATATGGGTCTCCCTCCCTGTGGGTTTCCCTAGTTCTCCTCCAAGGTTTCTCACTTTTTCCACTGGGTTTTTTAAGAGTTTTTCCTTGTCGATGCAGGAGGGTCTTGTTGGACAGTTAGTGTCCAACAGAAAGGATTGGTGATGATCAGGACACTTTAGCATTCTACAACATGTACCTGGACATTTTCTTCTGTGTGTGCTTTATACTGTATTCTTCATGTGTTTTAACTGTTGATTCTCTGACCTGTGTTGGTGATTTCAATGGTTTTGTTAAGTCCTCTGAGATGACTTCTGTTGTGACCTAGGGCTATACAAGAATAAATTGTATTGTATTGTATTGTATTGTATTGTAGCAGAACAGTTTAGACGCCAGGGCCAAATACTTACCAAAAGGGATGTACCCCCAACGTTTGGGTGGATATCATCCGTGCGGAGAGACCGGCTTTCCCATTCCCCAAAAGGCACTCCAAATTATGTCAACATGAACAACACCACTTCGAGCACCAGCCAGACAAGCCAGCGGTTGAAAGCCGAGTGTCCTGCTGTGAATGCTTCTGCAACTGCTAGTGCTAGGTAGGTGCCCAGAGAAGATGACAGTGTCGGCCATTGTGCTAGCCAGCTTGCACACGGCGGGCGACTTGCAGCATCAACACCTCGGACTGTTTCCGCCGAACGACATTACCAACCCGCCGTGAATAACAATTCGAACGAGAAACACGCTGCTTTGTGGGTTGGAATTATTTAGTGACATGTTAATCCCATATGAACCTGCCCGGACTCTGAGGAGCACAGGGACTGGGACCCTGTTAGTGCCCAGAGTCAGAACTAAACATGGGGAGGCGCTTTTTCAGATTCATGCTGCTAAA